CAGTCCAACCGTGGCCAGCTTAACAACCCCGTTACCATTTAGTTCTATTCATAGATGTGGTGGCGAGTGTAGGATTGTACACAAAGTAAAATTTCAATTTCTGGCATCTTATCAGCAGTTAATTTTGAATCTTTGCAGTGTGTGGAAATTGTGGTAATCTCATTTTTCTTATATTTTAGGATGTATCACTGTTTGATACATAAGGCTCTCTGAGCTTAGAAATGCCACGAGTCTTAGAATAAACTTGTAAAAACAGTATTGGCTACATTAGATCATGATCTTCCATAGCACAGTAATAATTATTGACCGTTTTCTTTAAAGGATTATGAAGCTGGATGTAAACTTATCTCTCAATGTTGTTGCAGGTCTTGGAGGAACATGTGTGAATGTGGGTTGCATACCTAAAAAACTGATGCACCAAGCGGCTTTGTTAGGACAAGCCCTACAAGACTCTCGCAACTATGGTTGGAACACCGAGGAGACGGGTATGGTGGGAGAAGCCGCTCTTCCGTTTGTGCTTTTGAGGGGTTTGAGCTATGAGCTTGCAAAGCACCATCCATTTTTATGGGACTAGAAATTGACCTGGGGGTTTTTACTGCTGACAGTTTTTATGTATAAAATTACTGTAATTATTCTGTGTCAGATAGCTGCATAGCTGTTGTATTAAGAACAGATACTGTACTTGGAATGCCTTTCTATAATAGAAAACCAGAATTTTTTAGATAAATTCTTTATTATTATTGTTATTATTATTATTTTTAAGTAATCTCTGTGCCCAATGTGGGGCTTGAACTCATGACCCCAAGATCGAGAGTCGCACACTCTACCGACTGAGCCAGCCAAGTGCCCTTCAAATAAATTCTTATATATAGAGTTTCATAAAGAGTGTAAGTTACATTTGCTCTCCTTTGAAGCTGTTTTATTTTTCTCTCTCCAAAGAAATGTTTCATGAGCTGATATTTTGGGGGTGGGGGGACTGCTTATTTGTTGAGAAAGAGATGGTTAGTCTTTGTTGGGTAAAATATCTAGAGTACCCTAGCAACCCTAGGAAAGTTGAAGAGAAATCGCTGCCTTTGGAAAGTAGATTACATTATCTGGTAGAAGAAAAAAATGAGGTTGGCATGCTGCATAGTTAATTAACGACATAGGTCACCATGTCCTTGAAGAGGGAAACTCCAGTCTTATGTGATATTAGTTTTTGTTGTTGTTCTTAAACATTTTATTTATTCCTTTGAGAGAGAGAGAGTACAAGCAGGGAGAGAGGCAGAGGGAGAGGGAGAAGCAGGCTCCCCACTGAGCTGGGAGCCCAACATGGGGCTCCGTCCCAGGACCTGGAGATCATGACCTGAGCCGAAGGCAGATGCTCAACCAACTGAGCCTCCCAGATGCTCCCTGATAATAGTTTTGAGATCTACAGGGTATGGGGCATTTGCCAGGGTATTTTATTTTGTACTTTTTTCTGAGTTTTAATTAATAGTTTATTAAATATGAAAATAAGGCATAAATACATGCTTTGAAACATTTTGCCCCTACTCAAATTAGTCCTGCTTCCTCTGTTTGATGCTTTTACTTCCTGTTTGAAAACAACAGTACTTTTTTCCCCAAGTCTGTAGTCTTAGAAAATCAGTTACTTTAAAAGTGTTCTTATGCTGGGGTCACCTCTGTTTCCTCAGATCCTTACAAAGCTATTCTCTGTCCATGACCTTCGGGGCCTGAGGCTGGTACTAAGAGTTTCCTTGTTTACTTCTGAGGTGCCATGCCTCATATCCTTTTCTCTTGCCAACAAAAAGGGCAGTCGAGGTGACCCTTTTGACCTATGGAATATGAATTTAACACATAATCTACCGATAGTCTGCGCCTAGGCCCACCTCTGTCCCCCTCCCCAAGTTGTTGTTTACTTCTGTGTCTGAAAGTCTCCTCACTGAGTCTGCCATTCATACGCTCTTTTCCTTCCTGGAAGCCTGCTTTTAATGTACCTGGTTAACAAGAGGTCTCCCTTCAGTTAATTTATTAGACTTCTTAGTAGACATTTTAGAAATTCTGCTGATAAGGTTATCGAATATTGCTGTTGAGTGCCCACTATTTGCAGTTGAGTCTATGCTGGGGAAATACAGAGATGAGTAACACAAATGGTATAGGTACACAGATTCCGCTAATCACTGATGCACTAATATCATTGATGTGCAGACCACGTACCCTGGGAGCCCAGAGGTAAAATTGGTAACGTGAGTTAAGTGGGCACACAGTCTTTGCTGTTATTCTGTGTCCCTTGGGTTAAGAACTTCCTTCACCCCAGCCTTCCTGACACATTAAAATGTAGGTTAATGTAATAGTCAGACCTGGCACAACTTCTGACTTTGCCGTTCACTGCATGTCATGAGGATTAAGTACGGCAGCGGCTCAGATAGCCACTACTCATCATACCATTTTTGTGTCTTCCTCTGGACTTGCTGCTTTTAATTCTTCCATTCACAGTTTCAATAAATTGGAGTAGACTCTGCCAAGCACTTGGTTCTTTGTTTAATGGGGTGTAGAAAAACATTTACAGATATAGGAAGTTTGTATGTTTGAACCAAGTTAGTTCCCTCTTAAAGAGGACATGTAACAAGAATATTCACCTGAAAAAGTCTAGAGTTCGTTGGAAAAAGTAAGGTTGTTCCAAGCAAATTTTGATTTATGTAGCTTTATAATTTCCATATGCTGTCATCTATACCTAATGTGTCTCTCTCTTAAATCTAGGTAAATAACAGTGCCGGGAGCTATATAACTCAGTCACACAATTTTTATTTATTCATATAGGGATCTAGTACTCAAATTGGTATGTTGTACTAATTGCTGTTAGCTTTAAGCTATCCACTCTTAAGAAAGATAAAGTCACGGGAACAGAATTGCTTAATTTAGTTAGAAATGTAGAAGTATATACAGTGGGTCTTTAGAATCTTAAAAAGTTAAGTACAGACCTCTGCTGAATGTGAAATTTTATTAACAGGGCCAACTAAGTATAATTCTAATAAATTCAGTAATCAAGTGGGTGGTGAAATAGAATTTGGTGAATTGACAGATCTTTCCAGCAGAAGAATATCTCTGTAGCTGTCAGGTAACAATAAACAGTAGCTATGCTTATTTATGTTGAATTTATTTCTAAATTTTATAACAGAGAACTAATAAATGTATGGCCGCTGAGGTAATAAAGAGCCACTACTGGCATAGTCCAGATCTATACATTAAAACCAGTAAAAGCTCCCTGAAATTTATCTATTTATTTATTTATTTAAAGATTTTATTTATTTTTTTGAGAGAGAGACACAGCGAGGGAGGGAACACAAGCAGGGGGAGTGGGAGAGGGAGAAGCAGGCTTCCTGCTGAGCAGGGAGCCCGATGCAGGGCTCGATCCCAGGACCCTGGGATCATGACCTGAGCCCGAAGGCAGACGCTTAACGACTGAGCCACCCAGGCACCCCAGCTCCCTGAATTTTAATGGGATTTTAAGACTTGGACCAAATCAAAGTCTGTCTTTAAAGAAATTATTTATTCAACTAAATTAACAGTTTTACTCTTGTGCTTCTTCCCCCTTTCCAGGTTGTAATGTTAGAAATACATAATTTTCTATTTTTATACCTTCCTCCTCTTGTATATGCTGGCAGCAACAATCTTTGATGAGAGTTGTGCCCTGTATTTAAATCCCTTCACTCTTCCTAAATGGAAACCTTGTGGTTTGTTTACTGTGTTATCTTCCGTTCTTCTCATTGAGCCTTGGGACTTCTGAAGCTAGCTGTGGCCTAGCAGAGACCCAGGTCTGCCGCGCCTGTCAGGACCCACCACTGAGGGAGCGGTCACCACTTCCCTCCTTTTAAAATGGTTGTAGTGAGGAGTACAGTGGATTTAGACAGATGTTACTTTATGTCATTTGGTCTTAGAGCGAGAAAGAAACTTGGCAATGTATTTTTCAAATGAGAAACCCCTAGAGGCTGCTGATCCCTGTTCCCACAGATAAAGCATAAAGGCTTATTTTGCATTTTTTAAATAGAAACACAGCTAATCTCATGTCCTTGACCAAATAACAGTGTAACAGTGCTCCAGTGTTCTGGGAAGGTTTTCTTCTCTGACACTGTAGATAGCTCTAGGCGTGGAAGGAGGAGAGGGAGCTGGACCAGGCAGCAGAGCTGAATCTGTGACTGGCGGAGTGACACATCTAGGACTTAGCTGTGATCTGCCCTTTATTTGAGAAGTTTTATGATCCCTTTATCATTATAAAGAAAGCAAGATCATTGAGGAGTTACAGGATTAATTCTTCCTACACACACCTGATGTTTCATATATAGTGTATCTGTGTCTGCCACTGAATTAGTGTGTGGCCTTGGGTAGGTCATCCATCCTTGATCTCCCTGTGTATATACTGGAAGTAATTTGTACCTCTTCAGGTGTTCTGAAGTTCAAATAAGTAGGTACGCTGAAGATGTTAAAGATACCACAAAGTTCAGTTAGTCTGATTACTCTTGTCAAGTTTAAGAGTGTGGCCTGGCTTTCTGTAGTAGGATAGGGGCAGATCAGGAGCAACAGACCGTTGGCTTTAAGGTCCAGCTGCTGTGGTTTGCATTAATGTCACACACAGGTGAATTACACATCTTGCCTGCTCAGCTAGAATCTATATTGCAGAAGCTTAGCATTGGATTATAACTGGTAGACTGAGCCGGCTGAATCTGGAGACCTATGAGAAATGCTGGAACTGTATCGGCAGGTGGGCTGAGTGGGGATGTGGACTATCCAGGTAGTGTTTGGGAATTCAAGGAAGTGGTGGATTTGGGGCATTATCAGAAGGCAGCACAGCCCTAGAGAACTAGGGTTCCAGATATGTTACCATCCAGAGTCCAGCAAGGATCTATTTACCACCAGTAGTATATAAAGTAGGAATTTGGATTTTACAAGACAGACGCTTAATTCTCAGAATGAAATGCAAGATCAGGACCATAGAAGCAGCTAGAGTTCCCAGGTGCTGAATCCCAAACTGGTGGGCTAGAATTTTTGAGTTCCTTCTGCCTGAGCATAATCACACTAGAGATTGGGGGCTGGGGTGACTGCCCTCTATACCAGAGGGTGAAGAAGGAACTTTGGTAGAAAAGGGGTTTGAGGAATTTGAAAATCAGGTGGGGCCTGATGGCTGCAAAGGAAAGCTTTAACAGAATTAAGGCTGGGATAGGTCTAATTGTCGAACTTGAATTTTGAAATAATTGAATTTTTGGTGCTATTATTTAATCTCAACTCTGTCTTATTTAGAATATAGTATCTCCTGATGGATTAGCAGAGTATAATCCACTTAATAGTTCTATAATTGTGAAATTTCAGAAGTGAATCAATCCTCCCTGTGGTCTAGTTCATTATTTCTCCCCGGGGGCGTTATTGGTATGTTGGGCTGGACACTTCCTAATTGTAAGAAACTATAGTAAAGGATATTTAACATCACTGGCCTTTGGTCATTCCTAAATCACTGTAACAGCCAAACACATCACCAATAAAATGTTTGGGATTTGCTTAAAATAATTGTAGTAAAGGGGCACCTGGGTGGCTCAGTTGGTCTGACTTTGGCTCAGGTCATGATCTCAGGGTCCGGGGATCCAGCTCCATGTCAGGCTCTGTGCTCAGCCGGGAGTCTGCTTCTCCTTCTCCCTCTCTTTCTGCCCCTCCCCTTGCTCATGTGCATGCTCTCTCTCTTTCTCTCTCTCTCTCTCCAATAAAATAAAATCTTAAATACTCTAGTGAAAAAGGGGGTATATGAAATGAGATTGGCAAAATGTTGGGAATTGTTACAGCTTAGATGATTAGCATAGAGGGGCGAGTTACACTATTGTATTCCATTCCTGGGGAAGAAAGCAGGAGTGAATCCTTTCTCTTCTTTTGCTAGATGGAGGCCAAATGGGCGGGTTGGCAGGGCTCCCTTTGCGCTCCCCAGCCCCGCCCCCCAGCAAATCACCCTCTCAGCATTGCAACCACAGTGGCTTCTGCAGTCACTCTGTTTTCATTGATCTCTCAAAGTCTAACATTTTATGATTCTGTGAATTGAATATCGGCGATCTATTCTCTGGGAGGCCACAGACCAATTTTTGTGTTGTCATTCTCAGTTCTAGAGGCTGGCCATTGGGTGGCTAGACTTGGCTCACCACTTCTTATGTGGCCAAGCAACTTATTAACCCTGAATCTAAGATTCAGACTTCTCGTTTCCATGACAGATCTTTCAGTATATGTTGATTCTCTTTTCCTTCTTTCCAAACCACAGCTTTCCTAGCACCTGCGTTTGTCCTATCACAAGAGTATATTTTATCTGTGTCCTCTATTTTTTTTCTAGTCATTGATAAGTCATTAATGAATGAATGATTGATTTTTATCCATTGAAATTTAATATATTAGTGCCTGGCTCAAAGGATTCGTTTTTTTTTAAAAAAATTGATTTATTTTAGAGAAGGATAAAGAGTGTGCGTGCACAGGGAGGGGCAGAGGGAGAGGGAGAGAGAGAATCCAGAGCAGACTCCCCACTGAGTGTGGGGCCCGACCCAGGGCTGGATCTCATGACCCCTGAGACCATGGCCTGAGCCGAGACCATGGCCTGAGCCGAAATCATGAGTCGGATGCCTAACTGACTGAACCACCCAGGTGTTCCCCAAAGGATTCATTTTATGATAGAATTAAAAAAATCTTCCTCTCTTTGGTGAGATGGGGATTTGGGAGTCAGTGAGACAGAGTCTTAAAATACTCTGTCTAGATCAAGGGTCAGCAAACTTTGAATGTAATACAAGGCCAGATAGTAAATATTTTAGGCTTCACAGGCCCAGTGATCCCTGTCACAACTACTCAGCTCTGCCATTGTGGCACAAAAGAAGCTCTAGATGATATATGTAAATAAGTGATCATGGGTATATAAACTTTTTAAAAAGGTGTTGGGCTACATTTGGCTGTGGAGCCTTAGTTGGCCTTTGTTAACCGGCCTCTGGTCTAGACTCTGTTACCAGCTCCCTCACTCCAGACCTGGCTACATCAGGATCCCTTGGGGATTGTTAAAAATACAGGATCTTGGGCTTTACCACACCTCATTATTCCAGCAATCAGTATTTACAATCAAAGTAAAATTCTCGTTCATTTCTAAAAAAGAAAAAAAGTTTGTGCCTAGTTAATTTTAAAGAATTGTCAGAAAGCCTTGCATGATGAATTGTCTGATAGTCTTCTAAAAAGGAAAGAATATTTGAGCATGAAAAAGTTGTTTATATGCTTAAAATGAAGGACCCTGCTCTTTCAGACTAAAAGCTCTGCTCTTTGTATTCCATGCAAATAGTTACTGAGAAATGATCTTTGCCTGGCAGTTGAAAAGCTAAAAACATTTCGTCTTCTCTTCTTGTGCAGTTAAACATGACTGGAATAAAATGACAGAAGCCGTACAGAACCACATTGGTTCTCTGAACTGGGGCTACCGGGTAGCTCTGCGGGAGAAGAAAGTCACCTATGAGAATGCATTTGGGCAGTTTGTGGGTCCTCATAGGATTAAGGTAATTGTGTGATTGGTTGGGGGTAGGGGAGGAAAAGAAAAAGTGATTATCTTAGTAGAAGGAAAAGCCATGGTGACCCAAACTGTCCAGTTTGGCGATTTTGTAGTCACATCTTATGGGACTTTCTCTTGTGGGGTGGTAGTGTGAGCGTACTGGATTTGGGTCCAGGTTACCTGGATTTGACTCTCGGCTCTGCCCCTTACCAGATTTATGATTTTGACCAAGTCTATTAAGTACTCAGCCTTCACATCTTTATGTATTACCAAATTTTTATGAAGATCAAATTGGATAATGTGAATGGCCTTTGTTAACTATCTAATGAATAATAACTTATTTAAAGTTGACATTGGTTTCTTTGTAGGCAACAAATAACAAAGGCAAAGAAAAAATTTATTCGGCAGAGAGATTTCTCATTGCTACTGGTGAGAGGCCACGTTACTTGGGCATCCCTGGTGACAGAGAGTACTGCATCAGCAGGTAAGGGAGTGTTGCAGGGAGAAAAGAGAAACCCATTGTAGATTTATGCTTTTCAGGTTTTTTTTCTTCAAACCCATTCAGTCCATTCCTAGAACATCCTAGTGTTTTGCTACATTTTTGCCCAAAGGGACAGGGGATTGGGAAAAAAGAGAAGGGAAAAATTATTTTATGCAAGAATTCAAGACTAAACATTGGTCTTCTTACCACCCAGTTAACATCACTGCTGACATATAGATTTATGTTTGGCATGTACGTATGTGTGAGTGTATATTAGAAATGTATAATATTTAAAACCAGATGGATATTCATGAAGATGCTAAAACAATGACAGAATGGCGGGCCATGTAGATTTATTAAACCCTAGTCCCTCCTCCTTGCTGTTCACATGGTCACAATGTCAGTGTAGGTTGGCCTTCTGAAATGAGTCAAACAAGGTTTGGCTGTGTGATTTATTTTTGCCCATCTGGTGATCATACGGTGACATAACAATTCACATTAGGAATAAAATAAGGAATTTCACATTATGACGACATTAAGAGAGGTTGTTGAAAAATATGTACTCTTGGATGCTTTTTGCCCAGGAGTTTCTGATTGTGTTATAAGTTATTCCTTTCAGGCCCTTTTTTGGGGGAGGAGATACGATTTTTTTCCTTTGTGCCTCATATAGGGGCAGTACAGATGGCAACAGTTCTCTTTGTTGTCTTGGATAGCTTCCTTTCTCATATTTAAAAAAAACCTCATTTCCTAACAATGCTTTTCTGATCTCTCTCATGTCTTGAATATTCTTCACTTGACTAAAAGATTTTGTCAGGTTTTCCTTTTTATAGTTGGTTTTTATTTTACAAAACAGTTATGTTGGAAGTTTTCTCCTTTTCTCCCCATTCTTGATAATTGGTGTTCCAGATAAAAAGAAGTAACACAGATTTTCCACCTCGGAAAGAGCTGAGTGGTGGTGATATGAGGGGTGGGGGTTTGGGTTTGCGAATATACGATATTAGACACATTAGGGGAGAATTACTCCAAACAGTTCAGAATTATTTTGTTTGACCATGAGTTAGGTGGTTTGCTGTGTTTGGCCCCGGGCAGCTTGAGCTACTCCCAAAGCAACTGAGTGGCAAGAGAGGGACAGTGTCTAAGGCCTTGTAAACACTTCTCATATATTATGTGTGTAGCTAATTGAATGTTTTTAATCTTAAAAGTGTATTGTTTTTGAGAAACCAAAAATTTTGCTTTGATTTAGTCATTACTCACATATGAACATTTTCAATTTCTTTCTTTTCTTCTTTTTTTTATTTTATTTTATTTTTTAAAATTTCTTTTCAGTGATGATCTTTTCTCCTTACCTTATTGCCCGGGTAAGACGCTGGTGGTTGGAGCATCCTATGTTGCCCTTGAATGTGCTGGATTTCTTGCTGGCATTGGCTTAGATGTTACTGTTATGGTACGATCCATTCTCCTTAGAGGATTTGACCAGGACATGGCCAACAAAATTGGTGAACATATGGAAGAACATGGTGTCAAGTTTATAAAACAGTTTATACCAATAAAAGTAAGTGGAGTTGCTCGTAGGTTTGTTGCTTTTATACTTACCTTTATTTTTTAAAGATCTTTATTTATTTATTTGAGAGAGAGAGAGAGCACGAGAATGGGGAGGGTCAGAGGGAGAAGCAGATGCCCCCGCCGAGCAGGGAGCCTGATGTGGGACCTGATCCCGGGACTCCAGGATCATGACCTGAGCCGAAGGCAGTCACTCAACCAACTGAGCCACCCAGGTGCCCTATACTGACCTTTAAAAGGCAGGAGAGAGCGTGTTGGGGTGGGCGATGGGAGCTTTCTTTCGGCATTATAAACCGTTAGGAATGCTGCAGTGCCTCGTCTGTGACACTGGTATATGAACTTGTACCTGCTACCACCTAAACAGCTTTGTTCTCAGCTGCAGATTAATAATGTCTTTAGTCTCTTCTCAACTCTCTTACTTTGGTTCTCTTTTGTTTAATGCTTTCCTTCAGGCATCCCTTTACTTTATAATCTTTGGTCTGTTATCCTTTGTTCTCGATACACACCAGTGATTTAAGTAAGAGTTCAAGACTGGGCTGGTTTTTAAATTTTTTTCATAAGACATTTGCCCTTGGTATACTGTGTAGTCAACAGATGCACTGTATTATTCTGGCTTCTCTGAGAACGATTATCTAATTTTGTTATATGGGCTGGCCTTTTTTGCTTCTTTAATCTTCTTTTGAAAAGATCGAAAAATATGCCAATTTACACAGATATTTTGATATATAAAAGTGACAAAATCAATCACTTCTTGTATCTCAGACTAATAGATAAATTTCCTTTCGAGCAGGTAAGGATGAGACTGTTGTGTTAACACAAATTAAGGAATTTTAGCTGTGAAGTTTGTTCAGTGGCTTAACTTAGGTTCTTTGTAGGACCATGTTAGGGATCTCTTAATGTAGATGGGTAGAGTTTGAGCATTGGGATGATCATGACTTGCTTTCAATACTGTTCTGGCATTTTCTCACTATATGACTTTGGAGGAATTACTTAACCTCTCTGAGCTTGTTTCTTCTGTAAAATCAGGATGATAATAGCACCGGTCTCAGAGTTCCTATGAAGATTGCATTAGCTGACACTTAGAAAGTATTTGGAACAGACCCTGGCACAGAGTAAATCTTAAATGAACCTATCTCCCAATATTGTAGTGAGGATTAAGTAGCAGATGTCCTGGAAGTAATCAGTACTTGATTACTGGAGTTGTTTTTTAGGGAGTGGAGGTAGATATGCTATGTTTGCACTAGGACCACGATTAGAAAACAACAGCTGGACGTACACGTTGTTCTGATAGAAGAGTAACCTCTTACTATAATGTCTTTTTTAAAATTCCAGTGTAGTTAACATGGAGTGTTATATTAGTTTCAGGTGTGCAATATAGTGATTCAGCAATTCTTTGCGTCACCCAGTGCTCATCATGATAAGTGCCCTCCTTAATCCCCATCACCTATTTTACCCATCCCCCCACTCACTGTCCTCTGAACCATCTGTTTCTTCTTAGAGTTAAGAGTCTTGGTTTGGTTTGTCTCTTTTTTCTTTTATTCGTTTGTTTTGTTTCTTAAATTCCACATGAGTGAACCCTTACATTCTTTGTCTTTCTCTGACTGACTTACTTTGCGTAGCGTTGTATTTTCTCTAGCTCCATCCATGTTGCAAATGACAAGATTTCATTCTTTTTTATGGCTGAGTAATATTCCATTGTTTGTATAAATCACATCTTTATTCATCTACTGATGGACACTTGGCCTCCTTCCATAATTTGGCTATTGTAGATAATGCTGCAATAAACATAGGGGTGCATGTATCCTTTCAAATTAATGTTTTCATATTCTTTGGGTAAATACCTGGTAGTGCAATTACTGGATCATAGGGTAGTTCCAGTTTTAATTTTTTTAAAAAAGATTTTATTCTAGAGAGAGTGTGTACACATGAGTGGGGATTGGGGGGGAGGGGCAGAGAGGAGGGAGAGGGATAAGCAGACTTGCGAAGAGTGCAGAGCCCATCAAGGGGCTCTGTCCTGGGACTCTGAGATCATGACCTGAGCCGAAATCAAGAGGCAGACTGTCCGAGTCATCCAGGCACCCCTCTATTTTTAATTTTTAAAGGAACCTCCATATTGTCTTCCACAGTGCCTGTACCAGTTTGCGTTCCCACCAACAGTGCACGAGGGTTCCTATTTCTCCACATCCTTGCCAACATTTGTTGTTTCTTATGTTTTTGATTTTAGCTATTCTGACAGGTGTGAAGTAATATCTCATTGTGGGGTTTTTTTTTTAAGATTTTATGTGTTTATTTGAGAGAGAGCAAGAGTGGGTGTTGGGGGGCAGAGGGGGTGGGAGAAGCAGACTCCCCATGGAGTAGGGAGCCTGATAATGGGGCTGGATCCCAGACCCTGGGATCATGACCTGAGCTGAAGGCAGATGCTTAATTGATTAAGCCACCCAGGGATTCCCTGCTCATGGTGTGTGGTTTTGATTTGCATTTCCCTGAGGATGAGTGTTGTTGATCATCTTTTCATGTGTCTGTTGGCCATCTGGATGCCTTCTTTGGAGAAATGTCTGTCATGTCTTCTGCCCTCTTTTTTTTTTTTTTTTTTTAAAGTAGGCTCCACGGGGCTTGAATTCATGACTCTTGAGATCATGACCTGGTATGAGATCAAGAGTCAAGACACTTAACTGACTGAGCTACTCAGGTGCCCTACTTTTGCCCATTTTTTAGTTGGATTATTTGTTTTTTTGGTGTTGAGTTGTATAAATTCTTTTTTTTTTTGAGAAATTCTTTATATATTTTGGATACTAACCCTTTATTAGATATGTCATTTGTAGATGTCTTCTCCCATTCAGTAGGTTGTCTTAGTTTTGTTCATTGTTTCCTTCGTTGTGCAAGAGCTTTTTATTTTGATGTAGTCCCAGTAGTTCATTTTTGCTTTTTTTTCCCATGCCTTAGGAGACGTACCTAGAAAAATGTTGTTAGGGCCGATGTCGGAGAAGTTACTGCCTGTGTTCTCTTCTTGGATTTTTATGGTTTCAGGTCTCACATTTAGGTCCTTAATTCATTTTGAGTTTATTTTTGTGTATTGTGTGAGCAAGTGGGCCACTTTCATTTTTTTTTTTTTGCATGTAGCTGTAGTCTTTCCCAACACCATTTATTGAAGAGACTGTCTTTCCCATTGCATATTCTTGCCTCCTTTGTTGAAGATTAATTGACCATTCCTTTATAATGTCTTAATATTTGGAGAGTTCTGGGCAACTTTGAGGATCTTGTGGACTAACTCCTAGTGAAATAAATATATCTGTGCACCTGACATTTTACTTGGGTTCCCAGGGTCTCTCTGACCCCCATGGGCCTTGGTGAAGCTGTGTTGCATTAGCCAGTGACCTAGTAGAAGTGGCCTTCTGCAGGGAGGAAGGAGAGAACATGTTTGGGACAGAGCAGTGTGATGTGCAGAGAGATTACGGGGAATAAAATTGTTCTAAATGCAGAAATTGTTTTAGATACAGGAAAAGCCTAACTGGAATACAAAAGTAAGTGAGGCAGGAAGGAACTAGAGGTGTGATGAGGGCTTTATCATTTTTAGGCAAATCTGAGCTAATGCAGCACTTCTCCAGAGGTTAGAACATTAAACATAAATAGGAAAGACATTTTCAGTATGTTCAAATGGGCTTAACTATATAAAAAGGAAGGGAATTTGAGAAGAAAATCTTTATTATTGTATTGATGGTGAAAGTAAAATGATCCTTGGCGGTCTTCCCATACAGAATCGTTGTATCTACAAGGTAGAGTAGAAATTGCAGGTGATTTTGAGTTTCTTTGAGTAAATATTTTATAGAAACCCATGATTTGCTGTCATTCAGAGACAAAGGTGAACTACAGACCTGCAGAAGCCTCCAGGTGATGAAGTTTTTCATCTGTCGCTACCTAGTTTGGAGGTCATGGATGGCATCTCGGAGTAGTGGGCTAGTGTGTTTGATCCCATCTGGCACAGCACAGCTCCAGGGTTTGCTCCTTCCTCCTTACATCCCTGACAACTGAAGACTACCCCTGCTTATGATAAACCTACCTCCTTGCTCACTATACTATTTAGGGTGCTCTAGCTGTTACCTATATCGTGTTTGATTTACTCCAGTGTCTATTCTTTGTTGACCAAGCTGCACATCTGTAGTTGGAAGAGAATCTCTGAACTTGAGCAGTAGTGGCTCTCCAGGGGATTAATGGTTCTGGGTGAGTTGTAGTATAGGAGCCTGGGAAAAGCAGCAAGTCTTTAGTTGGAGTTTAGTGATTGTAGTCCTCTCCCACTTTTCTCTCTTTTTTTTCCCCCCCCACTTTTCTCTTTGAATTTCATTCTGTTTGGGAATTATTTGAAAGAAAGCACCTCCAGCAAAACATTAAGCAACAAGAAAGAAGGGGGTAAAATCAAAAAAAATCTTATTGTCCTAATGATGTTAAGGTGAGGGAGATGAGACATGAAAGACCTTTCCAGCCAGATTTTGTGTTTACCTTTGCATTAACCTGATAGAAGGGGGTTAGTACATGTTCTTATTGTGGAGTAAAACTTTATTACTTTTATAGGTTGAACAAATTGAAGCAGGGACACCAGGCCGACTCAGGGTGATAGCTAAGTCCACCAGTAGTGATGAAATTATCGAAGGAGAGTATAATACGGTAAGGAGTGGACCCAGGTCATTGCTTCATTAGAAAGCAAATAATGTGCTTATTGGATATTTGCTGGGTACATACAACGGCAGTTTTCTGTTTCCAAAACCCTTGATTATATTCCCATTTTAAGACACCTTAATTACTTGTGATATTATAATTTGTTTTATATGTAACTTAAAAACATCATTTGTCAAATAGCTAAAAAAGGCATCCAAGTTTTTAAATGACCTAGAACTTCTCTTTCAAAATTTTAATCTCCCTAGCTCACTACTTAAAAAAAAAAATAATTCAGTCACAGGCTATGCTGTCTTTGTCCCTAAACTTGGCTAGATTTAGAAAGGAATTGTTAACTTTCTTTTTCTTAATAAATGGATAAGGATTTCTGCTATATCCTGTTCAGTGGATATATTTTTAAAATAATTTGTTTAAACTCTTGCATTATTTTCTTAATGAAATATTTCTTTCCAGGTCTGGAAAATGAAATCAGATTGGCTTAATTATTAAGTAACTTATGTGCAGCCTTTTTGATAACAGTCACTGATATATTAATAACTTTTCAGGTATTGCTGGCAATAGGAAGAGATGCTTGCACAAGAAAAATTGGCTTAGAAACCGTGGGGGTAAAGATAAATGAAAAGTAAGAGAAAAAATTTTATTATATCTTATCGAATACTATTTCAGTTATTTCTAATACTGATTAATAGTGGAGTTTTAGATTTTTAGAGTTAGTTTTTATTATAGTTGGAGAAAACTCTCAGTGCCGCTCACATTAGTATTTCCTGTTTTATTTTTTTCCCTTTTCAAAATCTAAATGGAAGATAGAGCAGCTTGCATTTTGTTTCTTTAAGGTATAGTGTCCAGAAAAAAGAATCTAACCGCACAGCTAATTGCAGGTGTGTGCTTTGAGCTTCATTAAATATGTAGATTTGAGCCATGTTTAGAGCTACCAAGTTTTAGGATGATGAGTGGTCACTGTATTTCTAGTGACAGCTGCAAGTATCAAAAACTTTTTTTTTTTCCGGGTTAAAAGTTCTTCAAATCCTCTGGACTACAGCACCACATGAGATAACTAAGATGGGTGGTAGCTGCTTATCTCCTGCCTGGGGCTATTTCCCAATAGCACCTTTCCTAAAAGGCCCAGTAAAAATAAGTGCTGTGTATGCCAAATGTCTGGGAAACTAAAAATACAGGTTTCTTTTCCCCTTTCAGGAATAACCTGTATTTTGGAGAAGAAACTTCCTAGTCTGATTGTGAGGATTTTTGAAAATTCATTTTTTTACTAGGATGAAGAGACAGTTGTTGAGGAGGTCACCAATAAGATTTAGCAGACCAAATGTTCCATCAACTTAATAAACCTGCTAGCCTGTTTCCAGTGGGTCCAAAGCTTAGATTTTTGTGTAATGTTAACAGCTGGTGACACTTGCTGTGCACTTACTGTGAGCCATGGACTTTTGTGCTAAATATTGTGTACACATTTTCATTGAATCCTCACATTCCCTTAAGGTAGAAGATGGTATCCTTTTTCTTATTACCAGTATTCCCATTATTATGGTTCCCATTTATAGGTGGGAAAATGAAGCTTAGCGATATTAAATAGCCTTCCCAACATCATAGAGGTGATAACTAACAGACCTGGTTATTATAGTTTAGAATCTGCATATTCTTTTTTTATTTTTTTTTAAGATTTTATTTTATCTATTTGAGAGAGAATGAGAGCCTAAGGTGGGGGGAGGGTCCGAGGGAGAAGCAGACACCCTGCTCAGCAGGGAGCCCGATGAGGGACTTGATCCCGGGACTCCAGGATCATGACCTGAGCCAAAGGCAGTCGCTTAACTGACTGAGCCACCCAGGCGCCCTCTCTTTTTTTTTTTAAGTTTTATTTATTTAAGTAATCTCTACAGCCAATGTGGGGCTCACCCAACCCCAAGATCAAGAGTCGCATGCTCCTCTACCGAGCCATCCAGGCGCCCCTGGAATCTGCATATTCTTTTCTTTAAATTTTTTTATTGTTATGTTAATCACCATACATTACATCATTAGTTCTTGAGGTAGTGTTCCATGATTGATTGTGCATAACACCCAGTGCTCCATGCAGAAGTGCCCTCTTTAATACCCATCACCAGGCTAACCCATCCCCCCCCCCCCTCCCCTCTAGAACCCTCAGTTTGTTTTTCAGAGTCCATCGTCTCTCATGGTTCGTCTCCCCCTCCAGTTTCCTCCCCTTCATTCTTCCCCTCCTGCTATCTTCTTTTTTTTTCCTTAACATATATTGCATTATTTGTTTCAGAGGTACAGATCTGTGATTCAACAGTCTTGCACAATTCACAGCGCTCACCATAGCACGTACCCTCCCCAATGTCCATCACCAGCCCATCCGTCCCACCCCACCCCCACTCCAGCAACCCTCAGTTTGTTTCCTGAGATTAAGAATTCCTCATATCAGTGAGGTCATATGATACATGTCTTTCTCTGATTGACTTATTTCACTCAGCATAACACCCTCCAGTTCCATCCAGGTCGTTGCAAATGGCAAGATCTCATTCCTTTTGATGGCTGCATAATTAGAATCTGCATATTCTTAACCACTGTTGTAGTTTTCCCCCAAAGTTTCTTACAGTTTTCTTATTCCAGAATTGTCTCTAAGCTTTTTACGTATTTTTTAAAATTTTTATTTTATATTATTTTATTTTATGTATGTATGTATTTTTTTAGAGAGAGAGTGCGGGGGGGGGTATGGTGATGTGGTGGGGAGAGGCAGAGGGAAAGAGAGAATCTTAAGCAGGCTCCATGCTCAGCGTGGAGCCTGATGCAGGGCTTGATCTCCTGACCCTGAGATCATGACCTGAGCTGAAATCAAGAGTCGGATGCTTAACCAACCGAGCCGCCTAGGCGCCCCTGTGTGTATATATTAAGTTAACGCATTAGAACGTTGCCCTTAGCTAGAATCACAATTTTGGGCTTCTTTGGGAGAAAGGAGATTTTGTTCTACTTAATAGTGGTAATTGATGATTTTAACTGAATGAATTTTCAGGACTGGAAAAATACCTGTCACAGATGAAGAGCAGACCAATGTGCCTTACATCTATGCCATTGGCGATATATTAGAGGGGAAGCTGGAGCTTACCCCAGTAGCAATCCAGGCAGGAAGACTGCTGGCTCAGAGGCTTTATGCTGGCTCCAATGTGAAGGTGAGTTTGTGGATGACACTTACTGATGCTGGGTTTTTTTGTTTTGTTTATTTATTTATTTGAGAGAGAAAGAGAGCGTGCGTGAGTGGGGGAGGGGCAAAGGGAGAGAGAGAATCTCAAGCCGACTTTGTATTGAGCATGGAGCCCTACACAGGACTCGATCCCACGACCTATGAGATCACAACCTGAGCCGAAACCAAGATTTGGACACTTAACCGACTGTGCTACCCAGGTGCCCCACTATTGATACTGTTTTCAGTAATACTACCAGTTCCCTAGTCAGGGGTAGCTGTGAAGTTTTCAAGGTCTTGAATAATTTAGCTATCTTGCTGACGGCATCCTAGATGTGCTTTATTAACTGTATCCCAAACAAGATATTGTTAAGACTGCTGTACTTTTATGACTTTATTATGAAAATTGTCATTCTTGGAATCACACTGGGTATATAATGAGCTTGATTAATCAAGTTTCAGCACTGTTATGTTCCATATATGCATAATAGTTGCATTTTACATTAATTTCATTATTACCAATTTAAGAATTTTCTAAATCCTTTTATGGCACCTATCTAGGCTATAAAAGGATTTGGGGATCTGGTTAATAATGTCAGTTTGCAAAGCTGTTAAACCAATATTCAGGCTTTATTACCCTGTCATTTTTAAAAATATGTCTTCCGCTCTTGGAATGTTTAATGTGTTATATTAATGTTCTAAAGTGATTTTTTTAAAGTCAGTATAGGAAATTGAAACTCTTAGGTATGTTTCATGGGACTAGATGGTAAGAATAAATAGACTCATTTTTTAAGATGAGTTTTTAGAGCAGTTACAGGTTCACAGCAAAACTGAGAGGAAGGTACCAAGATATCAAACCATGTGTTTTTCCCTGCCCTCATACGTGCATAGCCTTCCCCATTATCAACATTTCCTCCCTAATTAATTATTGGAAAGGATTCCAGGAACACTGATTGTAAAGCACTTAGTCTCTGCCCATTTTCCTTACACATTAATCACCATGGGTTGATCTAGGTTGGTTAAAGTAATGGAAGCTTCAAAGAATGCAGCTAATAAATTTGTGACCGGCATTTCAAAGGTACCTGGGGTTAGTTTGGATGGTGGCATAGCAAGATCTTCTATTTTGAAATTAACAGAATTGAGGCTAAAAATTAAAAAGGGTTTTAAATTCCAGATTTTCTGATCATCCAGGGCGTAGCAGCTGGTTATTACTACTGTTTGGGATAAATTTAACCACTTCTTTGAATGAGTTACGTCTTGTATTCATTGTTGCAATTTTTGAGTATCTGGTAAACCAAGAAAGGGGTATTTAGAAATACACCCTGAGATGCATTCAATTTGTTCTTGACCTTATATCTTTGTGTTTTAGTAAAATGGAGATATTTTTATATGCCAAAAATAACCAAAGGAGGCACATGGAAATATTTGCTCCTAAATAAAGTTGAAATTAAGTAGCACAAAATTCTTAAAAACCTTTAATGAATCTTTGCACCTACTCTGGACATACATGGGCTTCCATGTGTGGGCATGGTACTGTATTCTGTTCTCTGCCAGGTAGAGCAGATTTTTTCTTAAAGTGCTTCTCTGCCAGATAGAGCAAATTTTTTCTTAAAGAGCCTTAAGCTTTATCAACATCAGAATTTAATGTAAGTTGCAATTAAAGGACTCTTTTGTTGTTCTGTTTTGTGTTTTTTCCCCTTATTTTTAGTCTAACTCTAATAATAAGACAAATGCTTTCCCAAACAGGAAAATATAAACAGGTGCTGCTCAGATCTCTGAGTTTGAAATCTCACTGGTCTATCCATCTTTTAATATAGTAAATAAAGTCAAAATGCCAGTAAATATCTAGGTTAAATGTATTTGGGGAAATCAAACACTTCTTTTTTTTTTTTTTTTTTAAGCAACTGCATAATCTCTTTAATTTTGCCCAGTGTGTGTTAATGAGAATGTTACCACGTATCTGAGAAGGTGAGAGAATCCATGTCTGCCCTCCTTCTAAAGGAGCAGCTCCCAGAAAAGATCTCTTTTCTGTTGAAAAGTTTAGCTTAACATCAACACCTGGCTGAGTTGAATCCATTATGGGATTTTAAGGGAGCCCAGATTGAATCTTGGGTGTTAGTGCCTTCCTCCAAAATTGCTATCTATTCCTCACTTCTTTACCAGAGTGTTGGGAGGAAAGGGAGACAAAGCGTTACACGTGAGTTCTTGCGACATGCTTGGCACTGTGCTAAGTGCTTTGTAAGCCTTATCTCATTCAGCCTCGGGGCAGCTGTGGAGGTTGATGACATAGGAAGGGGAAATTAGGTAACTGCAAGGTCATAAGGCTGGGAGGCAGCCGAGGCATAAATGAAGTCCAGTTCTGATCTTAGGTACTGCTGTCTTAATCATGACGATTTATTGCCTAAGAAAGATTTGGGAAGTATAGATTATAGAAGAATAGGGGCTGGAATAGGAAAAGTATCTCAAGACTTAAAGAATCCACCAATTTGCAAACATCTCTGTAACACATAACTTTCCTAAATAAAATGAAGTGGAAAGTACATTGGGAAAATTTAAATGAACCTTTTTAACATTTAATAATAAACTTTTGAAACTTAAAAATATTTGCCATTAAATAAACTAAATATTCATTCTTTTGGAAACACAGATGAAGGGAAGAAAAAGAAGGTTTTTATCATTTCAAAAACTGATCTAGAACAGACTGTAAAGCTGAGTCAGCCTGTAGATGATGGACATTCCACTAAGCCCTTTGTTTAAAAAGCCACATGAGAAGATACACCTACCAGTTTAAAGCACAGTATGACGGACGTGTCAGCAGAATGACCAGTTGTTGTCTCTTGGATCCTTTTAGAATTGCTCTCAAACACTTGAAATACTTTGTTTTTACAAAGAGTAAACATTAGCATCTTTATTATTAAAGTGGTACTTTATTTATTAACTCAGTTTTATAAAATATTTTAGGGGTGCCTGGCTGGCTCAGTTGGTAGACCATGCAACTCTTGATCTCAGAGTCGTGAGTTCAAGCCCTGTGTTGGGTATGAAGCCTACTTAAAAAATAAAATATAAATATATAAAATATTTTATGTGAAAACCATAGAGAAGCCACAGTACACATATCTTCACGTGTTCCTGCTCCTTTGCATGTCTTGTTATTTTGGATGAATGTGGACATTGGACATTTTACATTCTTGGGTGCTGGGTTTTGTTGAATTCCTTTATACAGTGTTGGATTTTGTGCTGGCCACCCATTAAGTTATGTGGAACTAGTTTTATCCTTTTGTAAAACTTGCTTTTGTGCTTTTTTAGGGTCTGTCAATGGCCACCTTTCATCTAGGGCTGTCTTTTGGAGGAGTCTCCCCGTTCCCCTTACTTTATGAATTCTTTCTACTCTGGCTTGAGGGAACAGGAGCTATTTCCAGTCCTGTAAGAGCTCTGGTCACTTGGGGCCTCCTGCTTTCTCTGCTTTCCAGTGGTTCTTTCCTTACCCTGGAGTACCTCCTGTGACACATGGACAGATCAGTTCTCAGCCCACAGATTTCAAGAGTTCTTTTGTGTAGCTCTACCCTCTGGGGCTCTGCCCTGCAGCTTCAAGCCCCCCTGACTCCCCTGAACTGTGGTCTCTTATCTCCATGACTCAGAGAGACTGCTGGGCTCTGAGTTCCCTCCTCTTGCACCCAGTCCCTAGATAGTGCTCTGGACGGTAAACAAGAAATCACTGCACTCGCCTCATTTGTTGCCCTTCTGTCGGGGATCACAGTCCTGCGCTGCCTGTTGTCCAGTGTCTGAAAGTGTTGCCTGCTCTTTGTCTCGTTTTCTTGTTCAAAGCAGGACAGTAATTCTGGTCCATGATAACACCATGATGGCTGTCCGGGGATGTCTGCCTGTGCTTTTGATTCCTAATTCCAAGGGTTTATGTTCTTTTTAGAGAAAAGATTATATTTATTGTTTCTAGAGGGAGACACATTTTAAAGATTTTACCCTACTGTTTTTAAGTGCAAACTGTTACTTAGGCTCCCCTCTGTGTACAGATGTGGTCGGTAGGTTTTTACCAAATTGCATTTACAAACAGATTTGGCATTTACATAATCTCTTTTCCACACTTCACATCAGTGTACTGAAGACTGAGAAATCCGTAGTAGAGAAACCTGTTTATTTACTTAATCCAGCGTTTCACAAACTTGTCTGACTTCAGAATCCTTTTGTCATCTCTACTATTAACATCATAAAATATGCTTTGGAAATAGCATCAGTAACTGTTTTTGTTTCTGTCGTCTTCCACTTCAGTGGCTGTATAATACCACACTGAGCGTATATACTGTAGAACCACTTTCTATTTGCATTTGAAAGCCAATCAATATATTACCACTGTTGAGGCATACTGCAGCAATGCTCAATTAATGCATGGAGCTTTTTCTGTATAGTAAATTATTATTACAGATTTCTAAAGAGTGGGGTTCTTGGCACAGAGGTAAAGAATGTTTTTATGGCTCTTAATTGGTATTACCTAATTGGTTTTCCAAAGAAGTCTGTTAATTCCTGTCACCAATATGAGACTATCAGCTTTGGGTACACTCGTCTTGTTTTTGGCTGCTTTATAAAGGGAGAAAAAGTGTGTCCTTGTTGTTAACATCAGTTGGTAGATGGATGGAGAAGGCACATGAATCTATTCATGACTGATCTTGCCAAACTTCATACCTCTATTACAACTGTCACATGAGTTAATGGTTCTCAGGGTAGTAGGTTTATACCTGGGGTTGTGACTTCCCATACTTTTGGTAGAAATTTATTAGTCTGCTTTTCTCCTGATTTTGAACCTTTTTGATGTATACCCTTTTTTGAGTTATAATTTCTCCTGTCTTAACTCTTTACTTCGTTTTGAAACAGTGTGACTATGAGAATGTTCCAACGACTGTGTTTACTCCTTTGGAATATGGTGCCTGTGGTCTTTCTGAGGAGAGAGCTGTGGAGACATTTGGGGAAGAAAATATTGAGGTAAATTATATTCTTTATGCCTGTGCTAAGTTACTGCTGCTTTTTGTTCAAAATTAAAAGTAACTTCAAGCATACAGAAAAGGTGAAAAATTGTACAAAGACCTTTCATTAACCTATAAATTTGTTTTATACTTTTCATATTCTCTTTTTATCTCTCTGTATCTGTATTTTTTTCCCTGCACCTTTTGAAAGGAAGTTAAATGCCCCTTTACTCCTAAATTCTTCAGTGTGTGTTTGCTGCGAACAGGGTATTTCTTTAGTAACCACATTATAGTTACCACTTTTAGGAAGTTTAATGTTGATAGAATGCTTGGATATAATCTACCTTCTGTTTTCCAGTCTTGTCAGCTGACCCAGTAATACTTCCTTCTATTTTTTGAAACCGCTTTTACTGGTTCCTTTTATTATTAAAACAATATTGTTGGAAATATGAAAAATACAGGAAAATACAAAGAAGGAAACTAAAAATTAACAACATTTCGACCACTCTCTTAGTGACAGTTGGGGGTTTTGGTACTGTTATCCTCTTGTAACTGCCACAGTCAAGGAACAGGCACGTGGCATGCACTGTTTCTGTGTACGCAGTCTACCCAGAGGGACTGCTGCTTTAAATCATTCGGGAAGAAAGTTTCCAGTAAAACCTTCCAGAAGATCAGATTTGTAAATCAGTAAATTTTATGATAGCCTATTTTAAATCTCTTCATCTTTTTCTTATAATACACATTAGCAGTAGCATGTAATATCTTGGTCTATCAGTACCACATGAGTAGCATTTTCTGATTATAAAAATAGTATATCCTCATTATAGGAAGTTTGAAAAATTAGGAAAATATAAAAGAAATTGTAATTCATAACGAGATCACTACTTAGTATTTTGGCACATTTCTTTCTAGTCTATAAGTATTTATGTGTTTATATATTGTATATATAGGTGTGTATGTATAATTGTAGGCACATATGTCTTAATTTTTTTAAGTGTGATTAAGTTATGGGCAATTTTCTGTTCTGTTTTACAGTTAATGTTAGGTCATGAGCATTTCACCCTAAAAACAGCGTTTTCAAAAGTGACTTATGTATTTTTGGATGCTATAAAATAATTTGTTAAGCCATACTTTTATTAGATTGTTTATAGTTTTTCACTATCATAAATAGAACAATGAACATCTTTATAATTCACTGTATTTCTCTGGTTATTTTCTGAAGATAGATTCCTGTCAAAAGATTCTTACATTTTAGGGTTCTTAATATATATCTCATATTTCTTGACAGGCTTTGGCTTTCATTTTATTAGAATTTGCATTTTTCATTATAAAAGTAATGCATTTGGGGCGCCTGGGTGGCTCAGTCACTTAAGCATCTGCCTTCGGCTCAGGTCATGATCTCAGGGTCCTGGGATCGAGTCCTGCGTCGGGCTCAAAAGAACCCTTGGGGCAGCGGGAACCCTCCTTCTCCCTCTCTGCCCTGCTCGTGCTCTCTCTCACTATCTCTGTCTCCTTCTCTCTCTCTCCAGTAAATAAATAAAATCCTTAAAAATAAATAAAAGTAATGCATTTGGGTTGAAATTTTGAAAATGGAAATAGGAAACAATTATCCATAGACTTATGTCTGTAACATAGCAGTTGTCAGCAATTTGGGTAATTTCTTTAATCATCTTTTCCCTGTATAATTGTTGTGATACATGACACTATTCAGTTTTGTAACCCAAATTTAAAAAAAAAAATTCACATTGTATTACAGCATCAAAGAAGACTTTATTATAATGGCTGCATAATCAGTTTGTTTTTGAAAGGTAGCCAGCCATATATGTTTTGAATTGAGGCTAGCAGCCTTAGGTGGAAACCAATCCCTGTAGTCACCCAGACTTAAGTTCACGAAGCATCAGTCAAGACACCTGCCTCCTCCCGCTCTCATCTTCCCTCCCTCCCGCCTTTCTCTTCTTCGTTGCTGTGGGCGAATAACGCCAACAGAGGAAATGCCTATGGAAGCATCAAGCAAGGAACTGGATAATTGCTATAATTGTTCGTGGCTTACTTGTTTCTTGCCCAAAGTTGTCATTCCTATGCAAGATAGTGTTATGTATTTTATTTCTTTTTTCTTTTGTTTTCTTGATGTAAGACAGCAAGTAATTACCTGGCTTCTTTCTCTCATTTGCTTGCTTTTTGTTGTTGTTATTACTTAAGGTTTACTGTTCTGAGGTTGAGATATAATTAAGGGATGAGCTTATAGCAAAGGGGCCTGACAACAAGTTTAAGGTTGTTAACCTTCTGACCAAATGCCTACTTATTCCATGAATTTTATTCTTTAATGAGGTCTAAGTATCAAAGAGCCTCCAATGTTTTTAATCCACAGCTGGTGTTTGTCAAACATACTTCTTAAGATAATGGGTCTTAAATTGTGTGTATATCTTCTCAGGTTTACCATAGTTACTTTTGGCCGCTGGAGTGGACGATTCCATCAAGAGATAACAACAAATGTTATGCAAAAGTAATCTGTAATATCAAAGACAACGTAAGTGAAATCCTCATTGAATCCTTTTTTCCAGTAATTTCATTTGTTTTTAATATGTAGTTCTATTTTGATCACATGATGGACATCGCATTCCTTTAGTATTTTACATGTTGGTCTTCCCAGCCGCGTGGACACGGTCTGAGGGCAAGGGTCATGGTGACACTGCTTGGCCTGCACTCAGCGTCACCGGCACAGGACTCCGCACATGGCTGGTAGGCCTGCCGACCTTGCCGAGCACAGACCACAGAGACAACGTGAGAGCTGTGTGTGTTCATAAAAGGGAAGCCATGAAGTCAGTGACTTCTACAAATAATGAGAAACTATAAAAGAATGGGAGGAACACACGTTTGTGTCCCAAGCAGCTTTTCTCTAGTAAGAGAGAAGCCATCACAGAGGAAATTTATAACAGCTTATGTTTATTGAACACTTACTATTACCATTGCAGTACTTGGAGGTCTACATGTATTAACTTAGTTAATTCTTATACAATCTAATGAGCTAATGAGAAAGATGTGTGATGGGAAGAGCTCTTCACTGGGTTCTGATTTAAGATTTCATTACTGGCTACTGCATGTAACGCCAGTAACTGAAAGCCTGTGGGTAAACTCCTTGACCTCACAGAGCTTGTTTCCATACCTACAAAGTGATTGCAGACATGCTTGGTTTTCTGTCTTTTTTTGGCTGCTAGTCCCATACTCAGAACACATGTATGCACATACACATACTTGTGGATTGACTTTGATGAGGACTGGTATTTTTAGCTTAGCTGGGATCTTACCTTTGGGGAAAAAAAAAAAGGCCTGAGTAAAAATGTAAACCATGCTAAAGAATCCATAATTAAAAGGCAAATAACCTCACGCTTTTTCTTATTTTGGGATTTGAATATAATTAAACCATGTATCCTGTTGAAAAGCTACTGTTTCAGACAGTAGTGCAGGAAAACCTGGACCTTCTACGAAAAAGATCATCCCAGATGCATTTAATAAGTGAATATGCTAGGATGCAGTTGATGTAAAGAATGATTTTACGGAATTTTTTCCTTTGCAGACATAAGTTTTTATTATTAGAAGTATTTGAGTATACATTAGCCATCATGCTGCTGTAGACAAAAGGAGAAAATGTCTGACGTTCTCACTGTCTCCCTCTAGTAAGAGATAGTTCAGTTGCATGTTGCATGTAGCAATCAATGAAACCTCCACATTTTCCTTCAGACCAAGCAAATCTGTTTCATCAACATGTGGTTCATTTGTCTTTTTTTTCAGTGTTGTGTCATTTGTTCAAATAATGCTTTCATTTTAAAGATGTTATTTATTTGAGAGAGAGAGCATGTAAGAGAGAAAGCAAGAGAGAGTACGAGCAGGGGGAGCAGCAGAAGCAGGCTCCCCACAGAACAGGGAGCCCTCAGGACTCGATCCCAGGACCCTGGGATCATGACCTGAGTTGAAGGCAGACGGTTAACGACTGAGCCACCCAGGCGCTCCTCAAATAACACTTTTTAAATTTAATATGAAAAATAGTTTTCACTATGAATGAGCCCCATCCTAATTAAAATAGTTGAGGCCGTAAGGAGGGTGATACTGTTTTCAATTATTTTCATAGACAAAGATAGTATTAGAAAAGATGAATACTTGTCATTGTTCTTCTGTCATGAGCAATCTTATGCAAAAGCATGCTTCTAGAACTTGACCATCCTTGGGGCATATGCTTTATTCATTTTGAGTCAGTCACTTCACAGTGTCTACCTGTCCTTGGTTTTTCCAGTGTTTATTGTCTACTAGGTTTTTATTCTTTTCGTATGCTGTGCTTCTCTTATATGAAATATTTAACATTTACAGGAAGATAGGGAAAGTACCCACTGTCCAGATTCGATGAATGTTAATATTTTGGTGTGTTTGCTTCACCAAAGCTTTTCTCTAGTAAGAAAGAAACCATCACAGAGGAAATTTATAACAGCTTATGTTTATTGAGCACTTACTATGTACCACTGCAGTACTTAGAGGTCTTCATGTATTAACTTAGTTAATTCTTGTACAAGCCTGTGAGGTGTATGTACTCTTGATGAGGAAACTGAAGCACATGGAGGTTAAGTAATTGTGCTCAGCTCACTTACCTAGTTAATGGCAGAGTTGGAACTAATCACAGGCAGTGTAGATCCCATGCTCTTAAGCATTACCCTATGTCTGTGTAGCCTTTTGTATTCCTTCTCGATCCCATAGTCCTCACCCCTTGCCCCAGAGGTAACACTGTTTTGAAGTGAGTGCCTCACCTGTTCATGTTTTTATGTTACATATCCATAAACATCCATAAACATTATGCATTGTGGTTTAAGAGTGGTATCCTCAGCTAAAAATAGAAGCCTGCAACTTTTTTTAGATCACTTTCTTTGAGATCTATCCATATTATTAAACGTATATCTAGTATATTTTAAGTGCATTGTGTTTGGTGCTTTATCCATATGCTAAACCCCTGATGGGCAGGATGAATAATGTAAGAGTTCAAGGTGGAATATATTACAGTACTTCGGCAACAGGATGACCTTCCTGATTGTTCTCCAGGCAACGATGGAACCTTAGATAAGGCTGTATACCCCGCAGCCTGAGGTGCCTTACCTGTGGTGAGGAGGTTGGACTAGATAGTATAGCTCAGTCATGAAGTCTGAACATTAGAATGCATCAGATTTCTCTGCCCTTGGTAGCTGGAGTCCGGGATTTAGAGTTTATTCAGAGTTGCCAACATTTTCCTGTTGATTTCAGAAATGGTTTCAGATTGGAAGAATTTTAAGTCTAACTGTGCTGTCTACCCCCAAAGCCTTAGTTAAAATGATTTTTAAATTTAAATGATTGCTTTTACTTATTTTTTCCAATTTTTTTTTTTTAAGACTTATTTTAGAGAGTGAGAGAGTGGGTGGGGGGTGAATAGGGAGAGGGAGAGAGAGAAACCCAAGCAGATTCGACGCTGAGCGTAGAGCTCGATGTGGCGCTTGATCTCATGATGCCGAGATCATGACCTAAGCCAAAACCGAGAGTTGGATGCTTTGACCAATGGCACCACCCAGGCACCCGTAGATTTTTACTTTTTTTAAGTAATCTCTACACTCAGCATGGGGCTCAAACTCAAAACCCCAAGATCAAGAGTTGCATGCTCTACCGACTGAGCCAGCCAGGTGTCCCGAAATGACTGCTTTTAAATGTTACAGCTATCACAGGTAGTTTATCTAGAGCTTTGAGGCAACCAAATAGAGGAGATGAGGACAGAACTGCCCTTTGAAAACATTTTCCAGAACATTTTGGTGCTTATGGAATTGCAGACATGTTTGCTTTTAATGATTTTCTTCCTCGGTCAAGGCCAGCTCTTGTCTCTCCCTTCTTGCTTGCTGTCACCACCACACTCTACTGGCTCATGTTGGAGTATCTTCAGCCTAAGTCACTTTTAGCAAGTGTTAATATAGGTCTTTGATAATTTCTGAACAGGGCTTTTAGAATAGACTAGGTCTGTGTTCTAGGTTATAAAGGGGGAAAGAATCAGTATAACTGTATTACTTTATTTTACATCTTAGGAACGTGTTGTGGGCTTCCACGTACTGGGTCCAAATGCTGGAGAAGTGACACAAGGCTTTGCAGCTGCCCTCAAGTGTGGACTGACCAAAAAGCAGCTGGACAGTACCATTGGAATCCACCCCGTCTGTGCAGAGGTGGGTCCCCTACACTTTAACAGCTCTGTTTAAAAGTGCACAACAGCACGTGGCTTGTAAGTGGCAAGTCCAGGACTCTGAAGTTGGTGTCTTTCTGCTGTAGTTGAGCTACTTCTGTACCTCCTTACAGTTTAATTCTTGATGGAATACCTCAAAAGGAACCTTGTCTCTAGAAATGATTTTTCCTTTTTCAAATACCTTTGTTCCTGGCATGAACTGGATAGTAGTCTTATGCTGATGGTGAAAATGATGGCAGTGATTTATTTATAGAGATGTGCCTTAAATCTTCCTTTTTTTTTTTTTTTTTTAAGGTTTATTTATTTATTTATTTATTTGACAGAAACACAGCAAGAGAGGGAACACAAGCAGGGGGAGTGGGGGAGGGAGAAGCAGGCTTCCTGCAGAGCAGAGAGCCCGATGCGGGGCTCGATCCTAGGACCCTGGGATCATGACCTGAGCCGAAGGCAGACACTTAATGACTGAGCCACCCAGGCGCCCCAAGATGTGCCTTAAATCTTCTATCATGTCTCCTAAATTATTTTCACGGCAGTCAGTGACTAGTGCCGTTCATACCCAGAAAGAGCTTCAATCCTATTATCATCCCAGACTACCTCAAGGCTAAATGATGTTGTCTCCCTCTTTAGTTTTGGTATCAAAGGGTGAGATTTGAAAGTGATGCTTTTAAGAGATCAAGCAAAAATGACATGAGAAGTGGAAGTTGACTGCTCTGGGCCTCTGGGTGTCAGTGTTTCTTCATGGTTGCCTGGGATCATGCAAGAGTTGAATGTTGTCATGCTTACTGCGAAGCAGGCCTTGTAAACCAAAAGTGTGTCTACTTTGGAGACCGTGGTGAAGGTTGGGAGGAGGTAGCTCGTATTAGACCAGCTTAGCTATGGAGTTGAAAATCGTAGCTGTTATCTGGCTGCCAGAGTCCGTGGTTTCCAGGGCGGGCGTGTGCTTACCCACACGTGTGCGTGCTCACGCCTGATTTCATTCTATGGCCGGTTACCTGGTTGGTCTCTGTTCTTTTTGCCCTCGCACAGCTGAGCTCTTTGCTGAGTGTGTGAAATGTCAACTTGAAGACCTGGAAAAATGTTTGTTTCTTTCTGCTTTGCCTTTTCTATGATTAGGGATAGGGTCCTCCTCTGTGTTAATATGCACCTGGCTGGGATGGATGCATAAAATATTAACATGTTTAGTGACCAGGGCATTATTCCTAAAAAAACTGCTGTTTTTGTGAAATAAACCTAAACTTCTAAAAAGATGACCCCCAAATTAAAAAGAATCCAGATGGAAGTTCTTAAAGAATGTACAATATATCTTTTTTTCTTGGGTGTAATGACTGTCTGCCTAGGGAGGGAACCAACTAACTTCAGTTTTTCAAAAACACATTCAGTGAGATAAATATTAGGATATAATATGATGCTTTAAAAAGATCAAGCTGACGTAACCAAGTGCCACACACTGGGTGGCCTAACACAACAGAAGTTTATTCTCGAGTAGTTCTGGAGGCTGGCAGTCTGAAATCAAGGTGTTAGCAGGGCCACGCTCCCTCCCAGGGCTCTCGAGAAGAATCTTACCTGGCCTCTTCCAACTCTTGGTGGTCACTGGCCGCCCTTGGCTGTCCTTGGCTCAGTCCTGCATTGCTGCAGTCTCTGCTTCTGTCTTCGTGTGCACAGCCTTGCATCCTGTGTGTCTGTGTCTGGATTCGCCTTGTTGGAAGGACATGAGTCATTGGATTAGGGCTCAAATCCAGCTGACCTTACCCCAATAATATCATGTTAACAGGGACCGGGTGTTAGGACTTGAGCGTATCTTTCTGGGAGATTCAACTCACATCGGTGAGTGTATTTAAAACTTTATTTTTTTATTTTTTTTTTAAAGATTTTATTTATTTGAGAGAGAGAGAATGAGAGAGGGAGGGAGAGAGAGCACATGAGAGGGGGGAGGGTCAGAGGGAGAAGCAGACTCCCCGCCGAACAGGGAGCCCGATGCGGGACTCGATCCCGGGACTCCAGGATCATGACCTGAGCCGAAGGCAGTCGCTTAACGGACTGAGCCAGTCCAAGGTCCTTACAAACGATAGCACTCCTCTGGCATGGATGAAAAGATGACTTCTCAACTTGCGTGTGTGTCTAACTTTTTAAATCTGAGTTTAGCTCTCGGTGGGCTGGTGAAAAGACTGCCTGCCCCCGCCCGTGTGGTTGTGTTGTCTTGTGGCCCAGCAGTGGCGAGTGGGATGGCATCTGGCAGGATGACTGTCAGCTGGGCAGAGAGATGTGCCGAAGAGCCAGGGCGTCTTCCTGAGGCCCCTGCCTGCAAGGAGATCAGCCAAAGGCCTGTTCTCCCTGGTGGACCTGGCACATTTGGGGACCTGGGTAAGCATTTGCTGCTATGCATTTCCATCTGTTGGTTCTCTTATGACTTTGAAACTTGGAGGCTGAAAGTTGCACTGTTTTGATAGGGCTTAAAAATTTTTTTTTCTTCCCAAGCCAGTGGTTGATTAATGAGAGAAAAATTGGGTGCTCTGTCAGTCTGCGAACACATTTGTTGTGCAGTTGTGTGTGTAGCACTGTGCTGGGCACTTGTGGGGCTAGAGCAGGGATTTAAGATGAGATTAAGAGAGAGCAGGAGGCAGCTTGAGTGAAGGACCGGTGGCAGTTCAGTGTGACAAGCCCCCAGGTCAGGGTCCGTCCACAGTGGTGTCTGGAGTAGGGGGATGCCGGGGCAGGACGGGTGAGGAGGTGGTTCTTGTCTACGATGAGCAGAACGCGTTGGTGGTTAGCCAGCCAGAGGGATCACCAAAGACAAGGCTCTCGGAGAGATCGTGTTCCTTCATGGAACTGGAAGGCCCTCAGTGCTGCTGTAGCTTGAAGGAGCCCAGAGAGAGGTGGAAAAATTATGCTAGAGAAGTAGGTAGGAAGGTCATGGCCTTGTAAACCAAAGCAGGGTGTTTGGGCTTTATCTTGGGGGCACTGGGGTTTGGCTGAGAGAAGGTTAGCACAGGGGGTAACGTGATCAGAGGCACTGTGGAGAGAAATCCCTGGCTGCGTTGTGGCATTGGACCTGGACCAGAGCAGGCACATCCGGAAGTAAGAGAGGAGATGGTGCTGGCAGTGGACATCGAGAGACCTTGATACATATGGGAGGGAAATAGGAGGTAGCTTCACGGTGCTTGCCAACTGACGGCAAGTGGGAGAGGGAAGAAGTGGGAATGACTTACAGCTGTGGCTTGAAGCAGCAAAAGCAGGTTCCGGGGGAGTGATGCTGACCATGGTGCTGACATTCATCAGGCCTTCCTTGTGTGTCAGGCAGTCTGCTCTCTGCCAAGTCCTTACAAGAATTCCCCCCTTGGTGGGGAGGGGCAGTCGGAGCTCCACTTGACAGATGGGGAAATGGAGGACAGGGAGGTTGAATAACTCGTCCATAATTCCAGCCTGGAACTGGCAGAACCGGGATTCAGACCCGACCAGTCTGGCTCCCGAGACACCACTGTGCAGACGGTACTCCACTTGGGTGTTCCTTCCACGGTATTGGACATAGGACTTAAAAAATGGAAGTGATTTCCTGGTGGCAGCACGAGTGTGTGGAGACAAAGCTGGATTGTAATCTCAGCAAAAGCTCAGTGAGCCTGGCCCCAGTGCCCAGCTTTTCGGCCGCCTTAGTTTCCACATTAACTAAAACAGAGATGGTGCCGGAGTCATAGGGTCGGTGAGCAGCGCTGTGCGGAGAGTGTCTAGGCTGGGTTCTTCCGGGGCTTTGCATTATTAGAAGATGTGGTTTCACTCAAGGTCATCCTTATAGTATTTCTTCAGGGGGCTGCGGGCTGAGGTGGGAAGGGATGCATATTTTGAAAATGCTCCTCTTCCGGGCACCCGGCTGGCTCAGTCAGAAGAGCATGTGACTCTTGATCTCAGGGTCATGAGTTCAAGCCACATGTTGGGTGTAGAGGTTACTTAAAAATAAAATAAAAATCATTTGAAAACAGAAACAAGAAGAAAACAAAATAGTTCATCCATTTCTCCCATCCCCCACTCCTGCCTCTTGCAACCACTGGTCTGTTTTCTTTGTGAGTTTGTTTTTTTGTTGTTGTTTTTAAGATTTTATTTATTTATTAGAGAGAGAGTAAGCGAGAGACAGCACAAGCAGTGGCGGTGGGGAGAGGGGCAGAGGGAGAAGCAGACTCCCCCCACTGAGCAGGGAGCCCGATGCGGGGCTCGATCCCACGACCCTGGGATCATGTCCTGAGCTGAAGGCAGTCGCTTAACTGACTGAGCCACCCAGGCGCCCCATGTTGTTTGTTTGTTTGTTTGTTTTAGGTTCCACATATAAGAAAGACCCTATAGTATTTGTGTTTCTCTAACTCATTTCATTTAGCATAAAGCTCTTGAGGTCCATTCATGTTGTTGCAAGTGGCAAGATTTCAGTTTTTTAATGGCTGAGTAATAGACGTGTGTGTGTGTGTGTGTGTGTGTGTGTGTGTGTACACACCACATTTTCTTTACCCATTGATGGACACCTAGGTTGCTTCCATATCATGGCTATTATAAGTAATGCTGCAGGGAACATGGGGTTGCAGATACTTTTTCAAGTTGGTGTTTTTTTGGGGGGAGGATACATACCCAATACTGGAATTCCTGGATCATATTGATAGTTCTATTTTTAAGGAACCTTCATATTGTTTTCCATAGTGGTTGCACCAACTTAACGTTTCCACCAACAATGCACAAGGGTTCCCTTTTCTCCACATCCTCGCCACCACTTAATTCTTTTTGTTAGTAGCCATCTAACAGGTGTGAGGTGGTATCTCATTTTGGTTTTGATTTGCATTTCCCTGATGATTAATAATGTGGAACATTTTTTCATGTACCTGTTGGCCATTTGGATGTCTGCGAAAGTTTCTGTTCAGACCTACCTGTTTCTTAATTGGATTTGATTTTTTGCTGTTGAGTTGTATGAATTCTTTGTATATTTTAGATATTAGCCTCTTATTAGATACG